AAAGACAGAGAGAGACAGAGAGATAGAAAGTGAGAAATCACCCCACCTCCGGGGAATGTTCACACTGCAGTCCCTTCTCCTCTGTTCTTGGGGCACACATGCACACACGCCCAGCATGAGTTTTAAGCCACCAGGTCCAGGACTCGAACAATTATGCCATCTGCTGGTCCCCCAGTTTAGGCTTTTTTTTTTTTTTCTTTTGAGTGGTTTTTGTTATAGAGTGTGTGCACTTACCAGAAAGACAGGAGAGACAGAAAGACAGAAAGCAAGAAATCACCCCCCAGGGGGGATGGCCACACCGCAATCCCTTCTTCTCCATTCTCCTCTTAGGATCTTGGGCATGCACACACATGTGCCCGGCGTGATTTTAAGCCACTGGGTCCAGGACTGGAAATGCAGTTGACTACATGAGAGTCCCGCAACGTAGCCATTACTCCGGCTGCTGGCCCCAGATGGGACATTTTAAAGGGACTTTTTCCAAGGGTCACCTGCACAGTGAAGTTCCTGACTTCTCGTAGACTTGGGGAGGGGCTCCCTGTTATTCTGACTGCTGAGCACTAAGGCTCCCTCTGGGTGCACCATGGCAAACTGGGGCTCTTAAAAATGCCTCATGACAGCCTCCAGAGGAAAGGGGCAACAATGGTGCCGTACCCGCTGTTGGAGTCCAGCCTGTAAGGACAGCGGGGTGGGGGGGTGTCTGTGCCTGCAGATCTGGGCCCTGAGCTGTGAGGTGGTCCTTGAACCCCTCTATCTGCTAACTTAGATGTAAGAGACAGAGAGGGAAGAGGGAGGGGAGCTCTGGAGATGTGGGGACGCCCAAGGCTTCCTGTGAGGTGTAACCGGACCTCTCTGGGCTGTGGTCCTAACCCCTGGCCTATTCCTCCACCTCCCAGAGCCCTTCCCTTACCCCATTACATAAGGCCCTGGGCAGGCTGGGCCTCGGTCGGCCTGTGGCCATGGCCTTCACAGACCTGCTGGACGCACTGGGCGGTGTGGGCCGCTTCCAGCTGGTCTACACGGCCCTGCTGCTGCTGCCCTGCAGCCTGCTGGCCTGCCACACATTCCTGCAGAACTTCACAGCCGCCATGCCCCCCCTGCCAATAGCACGGAGGCCACCGCCAATGACTCAGAGGCCTGGCTGAGGGTCACTGTGCCCCTAGACGAGCTCGGGACCCCCGAGCCATGCCGACGCTTCACAGAGCCTCAGTGGGCCCTCCTGAGCTCCAACACCTCCACCCATGGGATGGCCACGGAAAGCTGTGAGGACGGCTGGGTCTACGACCGCAGTGTTTTCCCATCCACCATTGTGATGGAGGTCAGAGGGGCTGGGCGGTGGGGAGGGGGGCTGCTGCCGAGGCTGAGGCTGGAGCTACCCCTCTCTCCCCACAGTGGGACCTGGTGTGTGAGGCCCGCACCCTCCGCGACCTGGCGCAGTCCATCTACATGGCTGGGGTGGTGGTGGGGGCCGCCGTGTTTGGCAGCCTGGCTGACAGGTGAGCCTCTGAGGATGGGATGAGGGGCCAATGGTTCAGCATGGGCCGGGAAGACTCAGGCTCTGCATTACATTTTATAAAACAAAGGAGCATACAGGGAAGCACCCTCCTTAAAAGCATGTCCAGTTTCTATGTCTGGTTTCTTTTCTTCTTTTTTCCTCCTCCCCCTTCTTTTTCTTCTTTTTTCTTTCTTTTCTTTTTTTGGAGAGGTTTATGCTATAGGGTGCGTGCACTCCCCAGAAAGACAGAGAGAGACAGAGAGACAGAAAGCGAGAAATCCCCCCCCAGGGGGAATGGCCACACCACAATCCCTTCTCCTCCATTCTCCTCTCAGGATCTTGGGCACGCACGCACACACGCCCGGTGTGAGTTTAAGCCACCGGGTCCAGGACTCGAACCGCAGTCGACTACGTGGGAGTCCAGCGACATAGCCATTGCACTAACTGCTGGTACCGTCTCTTTCTTTTCTTCTCCCCCCTCCTCCTCCTCCTCCTCCTTCTTTTGCCAGAGGGCACATGTACTCCCGAGGGAGATAGAGAAAGGAAGAGGAGAAAGTACCCCGTCTCCCCCCCGGGGCACAGTCATGCCACAATTCCTTCTCCTCCAGCTCTCCCTCCTATTGAGATTTCGGGTACGCATGCACACACGCACCTGGCATGTTTCTCAAGCCAAGAGGACTGGAACTGCCAGGTCAGCCAGTGGGGTTCAGGTGCCTTAACCACCAGGCCACAGAGCCAGCCTTGTATGTCTGGTTTCCATGTCTCTTACCAGACATTAGCTATGATTTTATGCAGAGTCAAGCAACTGTATGTCCATGTCCCCCCTTTTTATGCAAATGCTGGCACACTTGTATAAGTGGTCCTGCTCTTGGTTTTTCTGTCACTTTGGTGGCCTCTCTATATACCTTCAGAATGTCTCCCTAATGTCTCCACTGCATCCCACTGAGTGATGCACCAGTGACCGTAATGGGCCCCCCGAGTCATAGTGAGGGAAGCACGCTGACACAGGCCTCTGATGAAGTTCGGCTCTCACGCCTCCTCTCGGTCCCCCTCTTCCCCTCTCTCTCCCTTTCTCGTCTCCCCTCCTATCTTTCCCTTCTCTCTCGGCTGGGGTTGAGGACAGGTTCCCGGACTCCAGACATCACACCTTCAAGTGTAGATGCTCCCTGTGCTACACGCCTCAGGCCCTTCATGGTGGCTCCTTGATGGCCCTCATCACCCCGTGTCACAGCACACGTGAGCCTGTATCTTACCCAGAGTGTTTTGTAGTCACTGGACCTCAGCCCAGGCCTGCACTTAGAGGTGATCAGTGAGTCGTTGCACAAGCAAATGAATGGACGGACACACGGCTGAGTGAGTGAATGGTGTGCCACGGGGTGTGTGTTGAAGAAACTCTGCCTGTCCCTTGGCCTGCAGCTCTCCTGACCAAGCCAGGCTGTTCACTCCAGTCCTGGACACTTATTTCCAAACGAGGCAATGCTAAGAGTGGGGCTACCCCACGTGACAATGCCCCATCCCACCCAAGTCTCCCCAGTGTAACCAGTTGACATGAAGACTTGACCCTGGGTTTTTCTCCCGTTGCTGGAAACTGGCCAAGGGTTCACCCCTTTGCGAGTTCTGTCTGAGGCCTCCCTCCAGCCAGAACAATGTTCAGGTGACCCTCTCCTTAACTATCACGTCTGTCTCTGGGCCTTCGAAGACCCTGCCTTTCCCCTGGGATGCCCGGGGCCTGTCCGGGATTTCAGACATACTCCTTGCATGCATGAATGATGGAAGGAACAAATCTCTTTCTCTCCGGTTTTCATCCACATGCACATCTTCCCCTGGCCGACCCCCCTCGCCAGCGCCAGGCCCCAGCAGCCGTGTGTTTGTTTTAGAAGAGTGATGTTCACGGTACCTAGCTTCCTCATTTTTTTTTTTTTTTGGAGAGGTTTTTGCTATAGGGTGCGTGTGCTCGCCAGAAAGACAGAGAGAGACAGAGAGATAGAAAGCGAGAAATCACCCCCCAGGGAGGATGACCATGCTGCAATCCCTTCTTCTCCTTTCTCCTCTCAGGATCTTGGGCACGCATGCACACGCGCCTGGTGTGAGTTTAAGTCCCCGGGTTCAGGACTTGACCCGCCGTCGACTACGTGGGGGTCCAGCGACATAGCCATTACGCTAACTGCTGGTTCCCCTAGCTTCCTCTTGATCGCCTCAGTAATCCCACTGGGGCAGGAGGGCTGGGGGTGGGCTGCCGTGTTGCTCCCTCAGGGGGAATTTGCTGCTGCCTCCCAGAACCCTAACACCCGTGCCCATTGCCTTGGCTCAGGCTGGGCCGCAAGGCCCCCCTGGTCTGGTCATACCTGCAGCTGGCCATTTCGGGAGTCGCCACGGCATACCTGGGCTCCTTCAGTGCCTACTGTGTCTTCCGATTCCTGATGGGCATGACCTTCTCCGGCATCATCCTCAACTCCCTCTCGCTGGGTGAGTCCAGCCAAGGAGGGGCCTGGAAGGGGCCAGGGTTCATCAAAGAAGGGAGAATGGGCACTCCGTCACTAGACATCTTTTTTCTTTTCTCTCTCTCTTTTTTTAAGTTTGCTATACAGTGCGTGTACTCCCCAGAGAGAGAGAGAGAGCGAGGGAAAGTGAGAAATCATCCCATAGGGGAGATGGCCACGCCGCAGTCTCTTCTCCTCCATTTTCTTGGGATCTTGAGCACACATGCACACACGCTCAGGGTGTTTATCAATCCTGGGATTGGAACCATGTAGTCAGCTTTGGTGGGATCCAGCTGCCTTAACTACCACACCATCAGCTGGCCCCTAGACATCTTTTTTTATTTTGTTTTGTTGGGATCCTTTTTTTTTTTCTATTACTTATATATTTTTTACTTATTATTATCATAATCTTGTTTATCTTACATTGAATCACATATAACTTGACAGTGTATTACATTTCTTTCTCCAGAAGGAATGCCATGCATGTCAGTCAATACAAAGACATTAAAATCCCCATAATCCTCAAACAGCCTTTCATTATTTTTTTCCAGATTATTATTATTCCAATTATTATTATTATTATTATTTTTTGGAGAGGTTTTTCCGCTATAGGGCGCGTGCGCTCGCCAGACAAACAGAGACATAGAGACAGAAAGCGAGAAATCACCCCCCAGGGGGCACGCCGCAATCCCTTCTCCTCCATTCTCCTCTTGGGATCTTGGGCATGCACGCACACGCGCCCGGCGTGAGTTTTAAGCCACCGCGTCCGGGACGCGAACCGCGGTCGACTACGTGGGAGTCTAGCGACATAGCCATTACGCTAACTGCTGGTTCCTTCCAATTATTTTTTTAAACATTCAATCACTACTTATCATCTTGCTTGTAAAAAGACTTTACCCAACATGAAATACTTCTCAGAAGTCCTTTTATTGGGATTCTTATCCAGGGGTCTCAGGTCAAAAACTCCCACCAGAGTACAGGAGTTTGGAGACTGGGCTCTCAGATCATAGCCCCGCCACAGTCAGCAGTGGAACCCTGAGCAGCAGCTCCCCGGTCTGTCAATGTACTCCTTTGCAATTGGAGAGGGCCAGAGAGAGATAGACAGAGACAGAGAGAGGGAAAGTGAGAAAGTAGCGGGGATGGCCATGCTGCAATCTCTTCTCCTCCTGGGATCTTGGGCACACATACACACACGCCCAGTGTGGTTTTCGAGCCACTGGGTCTGAGGCTCGAACTGTGGCCAGCCATGTGGGAGTTCAGTGCCTTAAGCACCATGCCATCTGCTGGCCCCAGAGGGTTAGGTTTATTTCATCTGCAAGTTAGTCAACAATAAGCACTTAGTAAGGGCTTATTATGGCCTGGCTTCGTGTGGGGCCACAGCAACAACCAAGACACAGAGGGGAGTGAGACATGGTGGTCCCAGGGCTGTAGGCAGCCCTGAAATCCTGTGTCAAAAAGGTGGGTAGGGCTTGGGCTAGCAGATGGTATAGCAGTTATGTTGCTGGACTATCCCATGGCCAACCACAGTTCAAGTCCTGGATCTGATGGTTTGAAAATCATGCTGGGCACATGTGTGCCCAAGATCCCAAGAGGAGAATGGAGGAGAGATTATGGTGTGACCATTCCCCGTGGAGGGTGATCCTCACTTTCCCTCTCACTGTCTGTCTCTCTCTGGCCAGAGCATGTGCCCTAAAGCAAAAACCTATAAAAAAAAAGAATTGGGGATGCTCACCAGGTTGCAAAGGCCTGCAGTTTCTTAGTTCAAGGGTGGAGACCTGACCTCTTGCCAGGTAGGAGTGTCACCCCCCAAGTGACAAGTGACAGAGTCAGTCCTCATTCCTGAGTAGTCCAGGGGAGAACACTGAGGGACAATAGGATGCTCACCCTGGACACAGGCTACCAACTCTCTGCACTTCACCTGCGCTACTCAGCTTGCTCCTAGGGCACCACAGGCCTCGGAGGGGCTGGAGGATTCAGAAATGCCACCACCCTGCACTGCCCAAAGACAGGATGGGTCTTCCATTTCAGGGATGAGGGGCACGTCTTGAGGCTGGTGGGCCAGAATGCACCAGGGTGGTGCTCCTGAACCCTTCTGTCTCCAGCATCAGGACACTGAAGGGCACCGAGTGCAAATCTCAGCAGATTCTAACCCGCCCCCCTTGTTCTGCAGGGGAGGAATCCAGTCACAGCCTGGAACAAACGTGAGGTCCATCTCATATGAGGATAGCCTCTGTAACACCTAAACCCTGTCCCAACACACACACACACACACACACACACACTCACTCACACTCACAGTCATCAAACACTGCCTGGTCTCTGAACATCTATGGAGGCTGGGCACTCTGTCTCGGGCCTAGAAGGGCATCTTTGTACAGACTCGATGGGGTGCCCGAGCGCCTGGCCTGTGGGGTCACACCACATGAGTGTAATGACCTGCCCCTGCTCCTTGTATATGTATACACACTTACGTGTATGTGTGTTATAAGTGGCTACTTTGCATGCTGTTATGCGTAATTCTTTCATTTAACAATGCCATCATTGGTCCATTTATTGATGGAAGGCCTCTTATGTGCCACGTGCAGGTCTAGGCACTGGAAACACAGCAATGAATGAGGCAGATCCCTGCTCCTTGGGGTCCACGTTCTAGCAAGAGAAGACAGACAGAAAACACCATGGATACGTGAATCCAGTTCTATGTGAAATGATAAGTGCTACAGAGGAAAGCTGAAACCCAGGGAGGGATAAAAATGGCCCACGGGGTAGTGGTGGGGGGAGTTTGCTATTTTATTTAGAGTCATCAAAAAAAGACCTCATTGAAAAGATAGCATTTTGAGCAAAACTGGAAGGAGGTGACAGAGTGACTTCAATAAATGTTTGGGGTAGGACATTCCAGGCAGAAAGACCAGCCAGGGCAAAGGTCCTGTGGGACAAGAGCAAGGAAGTCCCTGTGGCTGGAACAGAGTTGGCGAAGAGGGCAGGAAGTGGGATTGCCAGATTGGACACACAGGCTCCTGGATCATTGGAAAGAAACATCCTCATTAATATGTTCTGGCTGACTCGTATGGTTGTGTCATAACTTATTTAAGCAGTCCGCTGTGGATGGATATTTAGGCTGTTCCTATTTTTTGCTATCTATAAAAATTTAGGGACCAGCAGATGATATAATAGCTACGTCGCTGGACTCCCATGCAGTTGACTGCGGTTCGAGTCTTAGACCCAGTGGCTTAAACTCACGCCAGGCACATGTGCGTGCGTGCCCAAGATCCCAAGAGGAGAATGGAGGAGAAGGGATTGCAGCGTGGCCATCCCCCCGGGGGGGTGATTTCTCACTTTCTGTCTCTCTGTCTCTGTCTTTCTGGCGAATGCACGCGCCCTATAGCGAAAATCTCTCAAAAAGTAAAACAAAATTGCATTTTTGTCTTTGCCTGAGGTTGGGCATCTTTTTATATCATTAACAGCCGTTACACTTTCTTTTCCACCAACTATTCACGTCCTTTACCCATTTTCTTTTTGGCTCGTTGGGTTTTTAAAAATCGATTTATGTAAACTCTTCTAATATTAAGGAATTAGCCTTTTATTTGTGTTACAATATTTGAATCACAATGTGTCTCCTTTTTTGTGCTGCTATGATTTTGTGTGTGGCATTTACTTTGTTTTGCTCTGGCACAGATACTTCTTATTATGATTTGAATGTGTTGACTTTTTCTTTAGTTTCTTCTGGGTTCTGGAAAAGGCCTTCCCTACTTTAAAACTGTGAAAACTTTATCACGATTTCTCCTAATATTCTCATGGTTTTAGTGAGAATAAAGAGTGAGGTAGGGACAACTTTGCCTGCTCTCAGTGGGTCTCTGATGTGATTTTATTTATTTATTTATTTATTTATTTATTTATTTATTTATTTTTGGACAGATTTATTTATTTATTTATTTATTTATTTATTTATTTATTTTTGGACAGGCTTTTGCTTTAGGGCGCATGTGCTCCCCAGAAAGACAAAGAGAGACAGAGAGATAGAAAGTGAGAAATCACCCCCCAGGGGGGATGGCCACGCCGCAATCCCTTCTCCTCCATTC